GATTTTCAAATGTACTTTTTAGACCAAAGAAAAGTAATACAGACAAACTGAACAGGAGAGAGAAATTTAAATGGGGAGTGAGGGAAACGAAAGAAATCCACCTTCACTAGTTCCTGAATAAATAATTCCAAGCACTCTACAAATTACGTCAAGTAGAAGCAATATGCCAACATATATTGACTTCTTGACATAAAAATATGACACCAAGTTCTATTAACACATCAAATCCAATTATTTCAGCTACCTTTAACACAGTGGTTCTCAACCCTGGATACTGAAATCTTCTGGGGAGCTTTAAAGAATAACGTTACCTGTGTTCCACCCCCACAGATTCTTATGTAATTGGTCGGGGTAAGGCCTGAGCATCAAAATGTTTAAAGCTCTGAATGTGATTCTTATGTGTGACCATGGCTGAGAACTACTGCTTTAAAATGACATATACTGGGCCGGGCGCGGTGGCTCACGCCTGTAATCCCAGCACTTTGGGAGGCCGAGGCGGGCGGATCACAAGGTCAGGAGATCGAGACCACGGTGAAACCCCGTCTCTACTAAAAATACAAAAAATTAGCCGGGCGCGGTGGCGGGCGCCTGTAGTCCCAGCTACTCAGGAGGCTGAGGCAGGAGAATGGCGTAAACCCAGGAGGCAGAGCTTGCAGTGAGCCGAGATCGCGCCACTGCACTCCAGCCTGGGCGACAGAGAGAGACTCCGTCTCAAAAAACAAAAAAAAAACAAAAAAATGACATATACTGAAGACAACACTTTAGTTGTCCTGGGTGACACAAATAGACATACACACACACCAGAGTTCAACAAAAAACGGGCCACCCTTCTTGGAAGCAACTTCTTGATATCCTAGGATCGTTAATTCTCTCACAAGCTCATCCAATGTCAGCAGTGTGAAAACAACTTTGATGTGGGCGCCTATAGGTGTTCTAAAAATTGGGCACTTGATTTAGTGGAGTATTTCATAAATAACACAAATCTAGAAGCTGGCCTAAGTACTAACCAAGGATCCAGTTCTCACAAAAACATTTCCTGTAGGATGTGGGCTGTATATTTTACTGCCAGTCTAGGTTCTATTATTGTTTACTTTATTCTTTACAACTTTTCTTGATTTCATGTATTTGTATTAAAAAGGATTTTATAGGCCGGGTGCAGTGGCTCACGCCTGTAATCCCAGCACTTTGGGAGGCCGAGGCGGGTGGATCATGAGGTCAGGAGTTCAAGACCAGCCTGGCCAAGATGGTGAAACCGCCGTCTCTACTAAAAATACAAAAAATAGGCCGGGCGCGGTGGCTCAAGCCTGTAATCCCAGCACTTTGGGAGGCCGAGACGGGTGGATCACGAGGTCAGGAGATCGAGACCAACCTGGTGAACATGGTGAAACCCCGTCTCTACTAAAAAATACAAAAAACTAGCCAGGCGAGGTGGCGGCGCCTGTAGTCCCAGCTACTCGGGAGGCTGAGGCAGGAGAATGGCGTGAACCCGGGAGGCGGAGCTTGCAGTGAGCTGAGATCCGGCCACTGCAACTCCAGCCCGGGAGACAGAGTGAGACTCCGTCTCAAAAAAAAAAAAAAAAATACAAAAAATAAGCCAGGCGTGGTGGCAGGCGCCTGTAATCCCAGCTACTCGGGAGGCTGAGGCAGGAGAACCGCTTGAACTCAGATGGCGGAGCTTGCAGTGAGCCCAGATTGAGCCACTGCACTCCAGCCTGGGCGACAGAGTGAGACTCCGTCTCAAAAAACAAAAAAAAAGGATTTTATGGGCTGAAGTGCAATATCAATCATTTTCATTGTGACCATTTCTTTACTACTTTGAAGTATGTGATATACAATAAACTGCACATAATAAAGTATACAATTTTATAAGTTTTGACATATGTATACAATCATTGCTACACTTTCTTCTTCTTTTTTTTTTTTCCCAAGACACAGTCTCTGTAACCAAGGCTAAAGTGAAGTGATCCGATCTCAGCTTGCTGCAACCTCTGCCTTCCAGGCTCAAGTGATTCTCGTGCCCCAGCCTCCTGAGTAGCTGGAACTACAGACACACCACCACGCTCGGCTAATTTTTTGTATTTTTAGTAGAGACAGGGTTTCACCATGTTGGCCAGGCTGGTCTCAAACTCCTGACCTCAAGTGATCTGCCTGCCTCAGCTTCCCAAAGTGCTGGGATTACAGACATAAGCAACCTGTAACCTAAAAACCTATGATAGTATTAATGAAATAATATCATAGCTTTCTAGGAGTCTTAAAATAGATATGTTTTCATATTCCTTCCCAAATGTTAAATATAGACAAAATGAAATAAGCACTACTGGCAGGATAAAAACTAAATAGCCGATATAAATGGCTGGTAAAACTTAGATATCCAAGTGTACTTATTATACTTTTCTAATCTGTTGGATTTGTGTGTGTGTGTGTATAAAAATATCTGTCACATAACATAATGGTTAAGAGAACAGATGAGTGTTTTTTTTTTTGAGACAGAGTCTCGCTCTGTCGCCCAAGCTGGAGTGCAGTGGCACGATCTCGGCTCACTGAAAACTCCACCTCCTGGGTTCACACCATTCTCCTGCCTCAGCCTCCCGAGTAGCTGGGACTACAGGCGCCCGCCACCACGCCCGGCTAATTTTTTTGTGTTTTTAGTAGAGACGGGGTTTCACCGGGTTAGCCAGAATGGTCTTGATCTACAGATCTCGTGATCCACCCGCCTCGGCCTCCCAAAGTGCTGGGATTAGAGCCGTGAGCCACCGCGCCCAGCCGGGTTTTTGTTTTTTTTTTTTTTTTTGAGACAGTCTCACTATTACCCAGACTGGAGTGCAGTGGCGCCATCTCGGTTGACAGCAACCTCTGCCTCCTGGGTTCAACTGATTTTCCTGCCTTAGCCCCCTGAGTAGCTGGGATTACAGGTGTCTGCCACCATGTCCAGCTAATTTTTGTATTTTTAGTAGAGATGTGGTTTCCCCATGTTGGCCAGACTGGTCTAGATCTCCTTGCCTCAGATGATCCACTTGCCTCAGCCTCCCAAAGTGCTGGGATTACAGGCGTGAGCCTCCAAGCCCAGAAACAGAACTCACTTTAGGATCAGACAAACTAGTCAACAAGTACAAGTAGCATAAAAAGGTACTCCAAATTTAAAATTTTTCTTTTTTTGCAGCAGGGTCTCCCCCCCAGGCTGGAGTGCAGTGACGTGATCTCTGCTCACTGCAACCTCCACCTCCCAGGCTGAAGCCAATTCTCCTGCCTCAGCCTCCTGGGATGACTGGTGCCTGCCACCATGCCCGGCAATTTTTGTTGTTGTTGTTTTGTTTTGTTGTTGTTGTTTTGTTTTTGTATTTTTAGTAGGAGAGATGGGGTTTTATCATGTTGGCCAGTCTGGTCTTGAACTCCTGACCTCAAGTGATCCACCTGCCTTGGCCTTCCAAAGTGCTGGGATTACAGACATGAGCCACTGCACCCGGTGAAAATGTTTTAATGAATTATCTTTTTTTTTTCTTTGTAAGTGGAATCTCGCTCTTGTCGCCCAGGCTGGAGTGCAGTGGCTCGATCTCAGCTGACTGCAACCTCCGCCTCCCAGATTCAAGCGATTCTCCTGCCTCAGCCTCCCAAGTAGCTGGGATTATAGGCGCCTGCCACAATGTCTGGCTAATTTTTGTATTTTTAGTAGAGACAAGGTTTCACCATGTTGGCCAGGCTGGTCTCAAAGTCCTGATCTCAGGTGATCCACCCACCTTGGCCTCCCAAAGTGTTGGGATTACAGGCGTGAGCCACTGCGCCCGGGCCGAATTATCTTTTATTATTTAAAAAAATTTTTTTTTGGAGACAGAGTTTCGCTCGTATTGCCCAGACTGAAGTGCAATGGCATGATCTCCGGCTCACCACAACCTCTGCCTCCCGGATTCAAGCGATTCTCATGCCTCAGCCTCCCGAGTAGCTGGGATTACAGGCATGTGCCACCATGACCAGCTAATTTTGTATTTTTAGTAGAGATGGGGTTTCTCCATGTTGGTCAGCTTGGCCTCGAACTCCTGACCTCAGGTGATCCGCTCACCTCGGCCTCCCAAAGTGCTGGGATTACAGGCATGAGCCATCATGCCCAGCCCTGAATTATCTTTTAAATTAAAATTAAAGTCAGTACACAACTGCAAACACTAAAAATCTAAAGAAACTATAAAAGAAAATATGTGAGAAAATCTGACAGCTCAAAAATACTCTCATCATTAAGAAGAAATAAATTTCTATTGTAGGATATAATAGAAGCACTTACTTATTTATCTGAAAATAAATGTGATTAGCTAATTCAGTGACCTGGGTTTTCCCTTCCTAATTACCAATTTATTTTTTTTCCACCAAAAGACATAAACCAGATCATTAAAAGTCTGAGCTGGCAGTCATCTGGAACGCAAAGTGAACGACTTCAAGAAAAACCATATAGACATTAAAATTATCTGCCATAATGACTACTGAAACTGTTGGGGAAAAAAGCACTGTACATAAGTTTAAATTGAGAATTATTTGTGACCTCAAGGACAGAGATAGCACATTTAGGGGTCTTTAGGAACAATGTATTAATGTAAATTAAGATACACTGCCTCCTATCCCTGACTGATTATTAAAGATGACTGGATGAGATTGTGCTGCCTAATCCGAATTCTTGGTCTTTATTTATTATATCTATTATTGCCTTGGAAATTCTAACCAAATGCCAAGGATTCTGAGATCTAACCAAATGCAGTAGTGGTCAGCTTCTGAGCAATCACATTATTGGCCCATTCTGTTCTTCTGAGACAGCTGCCAGGACCTGAGGCTAGTTTCCAGACTCTGTCCACAAGTAAGAGTATCCAAATTTTCAGATGATTCTACCTCTGAAAAAAGGATTCTTCAGGAACAGTGTCTTTTCCTATTGCTGTTATTGCATAAAATCAATCTGAATGAACAAGCTAACATGTAATGAAAAATATAGTTTACAAAGGAAAATTGACTTAAGTTTAACTCACCTGTCCATATTTGCCTAATTCCAGCTCTATAATGGCAACAGGCGTGTGTATTTGAGCTGAATGCCTTGACTGAGACTTGCCATCAACTCTCCAGCTCAGGCCCCGAAGCCCGCTATTCCAGCGGCTCTGGTTCATGAGGCTCTCACGGATTTTTGTCTTGTGGCTCTTCCAGAATTTGGAAATGACAGCAGCTTGGTCAGATGTGATCCCACCTTGCTTTTTGGTTTGAGCAGTCAAGAATGCTTCCAGCTGGTTGAAATCCATGTCTGCAGACGCAATAGACTATAAAGATGACAGAAAAAGCAAATAATTTGAATTTAGTAGGTAACTAAAAAGGATAGCTTCTTAACTACAGATCATATTTTTAGTGACTCTTAAATCACTGAAACAGGCCAGACACAGTGGCTCACGCCTGTAATCTCAGCACTTTGGAAGGCAGAGGCGAGATCACTTGAGGTTAGGAGTTAAGAGACCAAACTGGCCAACATGGTGAAACTCCATCCCTACTAAAACTACAAAAATTAGCCAGGCATGGTGGTGCATGCCTGTAATCTCAGCTACTCAGGAGGCTGAGGCACAAGAATCGCTCGAACCAGGAGGTGGAGACTGCAGTGAGCCAAAATTGCACCACTGCACTCCAGTCTGGGTGACAGAGAGAGACACTGTCTCAAAAAAAAAAAAAAAGTCACTGAAATAAACTTTCATAAAAGGTCATCACGGGACAGTAAGGAGGCCAGGTACGGTGGCTCACACCTATAATCCCAGCACTTTGTGAGGCTGAGGTGGGCAGATCACTTGAGGTCAGAAATTTGAGACCAGCCTGGCCAAAACGGTGAAACCCCATTTTTCTACTAAAATTACAAAATTGGCCGGGTGTGGTCGCACACACCTGTAGTCCCAGCTACTCGGGAGGCTGAGACAGAAGAATTGCTTGAACCCAGGAGGCAGAGGTAGCAGTGAGCTCAGATCACACCACTCCACTCCAGCCTGGGCGATACAGCAAGACTGCACTGAAAAAAAAAAAAAAAAAAAAGTGGGTAGGGGAGGGGGTAGACAGTAATGAGAATAAGCTCTTTATAGCAAAAATACTCCATTTGGAAACATCAAATATCAGAAAAGCTACTGTTAAAAATTCCATGTCACTCAATTCGGTATCAATAACTAGAATATAATTTTTAAATATCCAGTTCTATGGTGGGGAGATAAAACGAAAATTTTTTTGAAGTAATAAAACAAGCCAGGTGTGGTGGTGTGTGCCTGTAGTCCCAGCTACTTGGGAAGCTGAGGCAGAAGGACAGCTGGAGCCCAGAAGTTCAAGTCCAGCCTGAGCAACAGAGCAAGACCCTGTCTCTAAAATAATAATAACAATACAAAAGAATTAAATTAATTGGTTGTCTAATAAAAATCTTACATAATTTCACAGTGCCTTATAGCCAGGCTTGGTTTGATATACTTCAACTGTATAATGCCTTATCCATATGATGCACTAAGTAAATTATTAAGTGAATGTATTATCTTAGCTTTGAAGTCCATCTTCAGCCAAACAGCTCATTCACAATAATACTACTGTGAAATTATTTACTACTTTATACTTTCCCATAAATTTTCAAAAGTTAATTGCCATTTGAATCTGGATTCTCTATTCTAGTATCTAAGAAAACACAGTAACTAAATATAAGCTCAAGCATAGTAACATGCCTTAAATTTGCACAGTACTCTTTAGCATACCATAGCATTTTCACATCTACAGGCGTACTTCATTTTATTGTGCATCACTTTATTGAACTTCACTTTATTATACTTCACAGATACTGCATTTTTTACAAATTGAAGGTCTGCAGCAACCCTATACTAAGGAAGTCTATTGGTGCCATTTTTCAAATAGTATATGCTCACCTTGTGTCTCTGTGTCACATTTTGAAAATTCTCATATTTCAAACTTTTTCACTATTTATATCTGTTATGGTGATCTGTGATCAAAGATCTTCAATGTTACTATTGGAATTCTTTCAGGGCACCATGAACCATGCCCATAGAAGACAGATAACCTGATAAATGTCTTGTGTTCTGACTGCTCCAACCACTGGCCGTTCCTTCTCTTTCCCTCTCTGCAAGCCTCCCTATGACCTGAGACACACAATATTGAATTTAGGCCAATTAATAACCCTACAATGGCCTCTAAATATTCAAAAGAAAGAGTCAAACGTATCTCATTTTAAATCAAAAGCTAGAAATGTTTAAGCTTAGAAAGGAAGCCAAGATAGGCTGAAAGCTAGGCCTCCTGTGCCAGACAGCTAGCCAAGTTGTGAACGCCAAGGAGAAGTTCTTGAAAGAAATTAAAAGTGCTACTCCAGTGCACACACAAATGACAAGAAAGCAAAACAGAGCCAGGCGCAGTACAGGTTCACGCCTGTAATCCTGGCACTTTGGGAGGCCGAATTGGGCAGATCACTTGAGGTCAGGAGTCTGAAGCCAGCCTAGACAACATGGTGAAACCCTGTCTCTACTAAAAATACAAAAATTAGCTGGGCGTAGTGGTGCACACCTGTAATCCCAGCTACTCGGGAGGCTGAGGCAGGAGAAATGCATGAACCCAGGAGGCAGAGGCTGCAGTGAGCCGAGTTTGCACAACTGCACTCCAGCCTCAGTCTGGAGGACAGTGTGAGACCCTGTCTCAAAAAAAAAAAAAAAAAAAAAAAAAAAAAAAAAAAGCAAGCAAGCACAACAGCCTTCTTGCTGATATGGAGAAGGTTTTGGTGGTCTGGACAAAAGATCAAACCAGCCACAACCTTCCCATAAGCCAAAACCTAATCGAGGGCAAGGCCCTAACTTTCTTTAATTATATGTAGGTTGAGAGAGGTGAGAAAGCTTACAGAAGAAAAGTTTGAAGCAAGGTTGGTTCATGAGGTTTAAAGAAAGAAGTTGTCTCCATTAACACAAAAGTACAAGATGAAGCAGCAAGTGCTGATGTAGGAGCTGCAGCGAGTTATCCAGAAGATCTAGCTATTTGATGAAGGTAGTTACACTAAACAAAAGATTTTCAATATAGATGAAATAGCTGTATATTGGAAAAAGATACCATCTAGGACTTTATTTTTTGTTTGTGAGTTCTCATAAAGTAGGACTTTCACAGCTAGAGAGAAGTCAATGCCTAGCCTCAAAGACAGGCTGACTCTCTTGTTAGAGGCCAATGCAGCTGGTGACTTGAAGTTGAAGCCAATGGTCATTTATCATTCAGAAAACTCTAGGGCCCTTAAGAATGATGTTAAATCTACTCTGCCCATGCTCTGTAAATGGAACAACAAAGCCTAAACAGCACATCTGTTTACAGCATGGCTTGCTGAATTTAAAATATTCAGCTGAATTTAAAATACTCACAGTGGGCTTAATATTTTAAGGAAACCTACTGCTCAGAAAAAAAGATTCAAAATATTACTACTCACAAACAATGCACGTAGTCACTCAAGCGCTCTGATGGAGACGTACAAGGAGATGTTATTTTCATGACTGCTAACACGGCATTCATTCTTCAGTCCATGGATCAAGAAGTAATTCTGACCATCAAGGTCTTTTTTTTTTTTTTTTTTTTTTAAAGAAATACATTGTGTGACCAGGCATAGTGGCTCAAGCCTATAATCTCAGCACTTGGGAGGCTGAGGTGGGCAGATTGCTTGAGCCTGGGAGTTCGAGACCATTCTGGGCAACATGGCGAGACCATGTTTTTACAAAAAATACAAAAAAATTAGCCGGGCGGGGTGGTACACATCTGTGGTCCCAGCTACTTAGGAGACTGAGGTGGGAGGATCATGTGAGCACAGGCGGTCAAGGCTGAATAAGCCAAGATGGCACCATTGCACTCCTGCCTGGGCGACACAGCAAGACCCTGTCTAAAAAGAAAAAGAAAAAGAAAGAAATACATTTTGTAAGGCTATAGCTGCCATAGACAGTGATTACTCTAATGGATCCAGGCAGAATAAACTGAAAACCTTCAGGAAAGGATTCACCATTCTATATGCCACTAAGAACATTCATGATTCATAGAAGAATGTCAAAATATCAACGTTAACACGAGTTTGGAGGAAGTCGATTCCATTCCTCATGGATGACTTTGAGGAGTCCAAGACTTCAGTGGAGGAAGTAACTGCATATGTGGTGAAAATAGCAAGAGAACCAGAATTCGAAATGAAATCTGAAGATGTGATTGAATTGTTGCAATCTTATGATCAAACTTGAATGGATAAGAAGTTACTCGTTATGGAGGAGTAAACAAAGTGGTTTCTTGGTATATAGTCCTAGTAAAGATGCTGTGAACATTGCTGCAGTGACAACAAGGGACTTAGAACATTACAGAAACTTAGTTGATAAAGCAGCGGCAGGGTTGGAGAGGACTGACTCCAATTTGAAAAAGGTTCTACTGTGGGTAAAATGCTATCAAACAGCATCACATGATACAGAGAAATCTTTCATGAAAGGGAGAATCCACAGATGCAACAACCTCATTGTTGTGTTATTTAAGAAACTGCCACAGCCACCCCAACTTTCAGCAATCATCACTCTATCAATAAGCAGCCACTGACATCAAGGCAATTCAAATCCCACTTCTGACACACACACACACACACACACATATTTAGAAAACAAAAACAAGATACCAAGGCAAGACCCTCCACCAGCAAAAAGAATATGACTTGCTGAAGGCTCAGGTAATCATTAGCATTTTTTAGCAATAAAGTTTTTAGGTTTTTTTGCGGGGAGAGATGGGGTCTCTGTTACCCAGGCTGGAGTGCAGGGGCACAATCATAGCTCACTTGTAGCCTCAAACTCCCGGGCTCAAGTAATCCTCTCACTTTGGCCTCTTCAACAGTAATAAAGTATCCCTTAACTAAGGAATGTATATTGCTTTTAAAGACACAGTGCTATTATACACTTAATATAGTGTAGTATAATATGGTATGGTACAGCATAAACACAACTTTAATGCACTAGGAAACAAAAAAATTCATGTGACTCGCTTAATTGCATTATTCACTTTATTGTGGCCACCTGGAAGCAAACCCATGGTATTTCCGAGGTATGTCTGTATTACTACACTTGACCCTCATAAGCAATTTTCAAAGGCAACGGGGTAGATAATAGTATTATAGTGCTCTTCACTCTCAACTTATAGAAAAGGAAACTGAAGCTTCAAGCAGCCAACTGATTTTTCTGAAAGCACCATGAGATAAGTGCAGGGACAAAGCCTCAACTGTTAAGCCAGGTTTCCCTCTGATTAGTTGTCACAAGTGACTACATAGAGAAGTAGACTCGGTATCACCACCACTGAAAAAAATGTAAACTGGTACATTCTGCCAACAATGATACAGAGATGCCAGTCCCTAATGAGTAGCTACAATGCTTCAGTTGCTGGCCTTCAGAGATCCTGAGAGATCAATGATTTGAAGAGTATTACCACAAATTTTTAATTAAGGTTTAGATGTTTGAGTGAGGAACATGTAAATGTTATCAGAACTTAGAGAGCCAACAGTGAATAGAAAAACTGAGAGATAAGATAGAGAAGGCAGTCTGCAGCCGGATTAAAGTGTATCAAGTTTAGACATTGTTATATATACACAATGAGGGGCCACTAAGGGCTAGGTAACTGGAAAATCATGATGCAATGTGTGGTTTAGAATGCCGAATTTGGCCAGGTGTGGTATCACGTGCCTGCAGTCCCAGCTACTCCAGAGGCTGAAGCAGGAGGATTGTTTAAGCCCTGGAGGTTGAAACCAGCCTGGAAAACACAGCAAAACCCTGTCTCTCTTTTAAAAATGTTTTTAATTAAAAATTTTTTTTCTAAACTGAATCTGATAACAGTAAGTAGTTGGACTGAAGTGGGAGATTATCAGAGGGCTAGGGCAATGGAGCCTAGGGGAGGACAGCAGCAGTTAATAACTTAGTCCCAAGAGTAAGCTTCCCCTTGCCTCTTCTTTGCTATGCCCCTATCTGCTAGTGGCCATGGGGACTGGCATAAGCCCCAAACCAGACAGATCACAATGTCCTCCTTTCTCTGGGCACACTGACTGGTCTAAATGAATTTCCCAATTTAGGGCAGGAGAAATGGTCTTGTCTTTTTGGGTCATAGTATAAGAAGGACATGAGGCTGGGGTTACAGACAGCATTTTCTTGAACCTTTTGGCAAAAGCACGTCTGCAAGAAAATAGAATGAAGCCAAGGAGAGATGAGAGTGGATTTTAATGGGGTGATATCCCTGTTTTACAGTTCCCAAGAGCCTGGTTCCTGCAGGCCTCCCTGCAATTCTATAATGCTATCTCGGCATCCTTCCTACAGACAACCCAATATTCCATCGAGTATTCAAGGTAGTTTGAGCTGTATTCCTATCATTTGGAACCAAGAGTCCTGACTAAAAGAGGGTGGTGGCAGTGGGAACAGAAGAATGTAAAGGTAGACAACACAAGGTAGAATACAGGTAGAGCAAGTGAGACTGGAGCTGAAAGAAAAACAATATGTCTTTCATTTCTTCATTAATATAAAAAATTGTATGGTAAATATTACAACTTTCTGGTACATTAAAGATATTTCACATTACAATTCAATAAACATTTACTGAATATTTGCCTATTTACCAGAAAGCAGGACCCCAAACCTCTGGCTATGCCAATCAATACAAACACAGGCTGGGCATGGTGGCTCACACCTGTAATCCAGCACTTTGGGAGGCTGAGGTGGGCAGGTCACCTGAGGTCAGAAGTTCAAGACCAGCCTGTCCAACATGGAGAAACCCCATCTCCACTAACAATACAAAAATTAGCCGGGTGTGGTGGCAGATGCCTATAATCCCAGCTACTCGGGAGGCTGATGCAGGAGAATCATTTGAACCCAGGAGGTGGAGGTTGCAGTGAGCCAAGATTGCGCCACTGCACTTTAGCCTGGGGGACACAGCGAGACTCCACCTCAAAAAAAAAGAAAAGAAAGAAAAAAAAGTATTATTTTGTATAATATACTTATAATTAAGTAAAATTATTTCCACTGGCACCTTGCTTCACAATGTTATGTCACAACTCAGGTAATTTGTATCATTCTTCTTCTCAAATAATATCAAGAGGTATCCATTCTGATATAATTTCATCTGTGACAACAGTTATTTTGGTTGGGTTCCAGTCAGTAATATCTTGAACTAGGGTCAATTCATCCAAATTTAGAACAATTAAAAATTAAATGAGAAACTGATTTTGGTTTGGGTTCAAAGTCATCAATTTTCATTTAAGAAATGCTTGAATAGCCACCATAAAACAGATACTGTTCACAGCACACCACTTCCATCTACTGGCAGCCTAAGCTGACAGCCTGGTACTCATCCTTTATTCTTTTCTCTCTTCTACATCTTCAATCAGTGGTTTTCAACACTGGCTGCACATTAGAATCCTGAAGTACAATTTTAAAATATCAGTGCCCAGCTATTTTCCCAGAAATTCTGATTTCTAGGAATTACAGAGCGAAGCCTAGGCATTGGTATTGTTTAAAAGTTTCCAAAGTGATTCTGGCAGGCAACGAAGTGTTAAAAACAAATGCTGGCAGTAAAATGAGTTTGAAAAGAAAAAAGAAAAAGAAAAACAAATGCCTGTAACTTTCCATTGTCAAGTTCTACTGATTGTTACATCTGAAATAATTATCTAATAATATGTCCCCTCTGGTTTGTCCCTACTAGCTGGTAGAAGCACTCACTATCTTGAACCTAAACTAAGTGTGGACCCCCTCCAGTCTATGTTCTATACCACCATCAAAGTGATATATCTAAAATATAAATATAGGATGCTGGCACTTGCTTGTTTAAAGTTATTCCATGGCTGCCCATTACTTGCTTCAGTGGTGGTCGGGCAGGATGATGTGAAGCACTCTCCTAGGAGGTATAAGATAAGTTGTACATAATATAGTTAGCAGTAGTAGTAGTACAAGTATTGAAGTTTGTAAAGATTTTTATAAGTATAAATCAGAGGGTTTTCAAAGTATCCTTATATTAAACAATTACCTCCCTCATTTTAACTGTTTACTTGAATGGAAGAAAAAAAGAAAATGACAAACACAGGAACTCTGCAGGGAACTATATCATGCATGTATTACTATCATGCACATGTTAAATGTGTCACAGAGGAATAAAAATTTGAAAACTGATAAAACAGAACAGTGGTTCTCAACCAGGTAGTATTAACCTCCCAAAGGCACCTGAGAAATGGTGGAGGCTACATTTGGTTTCACAGTAATTGGAGGGAGTGCTGTTGGCATTAAGTGAGCAGGAGCTACGGATGCTCGGCATCCTTCGATGCCCAAGAAATAGGAGTTGGCAAGCTTTCTGTAAAAGTTGTAACCATCGCCGGGCGCGGTGGCTCACGCCTGTAATCCCAGCACTTTGGGAGGCCGAGGCGGGCGGATCACAAGGTCAGGAGATCGAGACCACGGTGAAACCCCGTCTCTACTAAAAATACAAAAAATTAGACGGGCGCGGTTGTGGGCGCCTGTAGTCCCAGCTACTCGGGAGGCTGAGGCAGGAGAATGGCGTGAACCCGGGAGGCGGAGCTTGCAGTGAGCCGAGATCGCGCCACTGCACTCCAGCCTGGGCAACAGAGCGAGACTCCGTCTCAAAAAAAAAAAAGTATTTTTCACGGTTTTAATAAACACCAAATTTTCCAGGAATGCAATTAATACAACTTGTACTTTGACTTGGTTGGAACTTAACAAACAGGATATTAAGTATTTTGAAAAATCTCATTACCAGTGACAATACCATTTAAAATATCTTACCTACCAATACAACATATTTTATATACCTGCATTTCTTGCTGTGCATTCACAGTAATTCTATGTACAGATACAAGCATCTGATTAATTCATTACATGTTCTAATGATATAATGCTTAAACATTTATATTTTAAAATATATATTTCAAATTATGTTGTTTTAGATTTCTTATACTTTTCCTTTGTGTTACATTTATGACATCATATTAGAAACTATGTGTTGGCCGGGCGCGGTGGCTCACACCTGTAATCCCAGCACTTTGGGAGTCCGAGGAGGGCAAATCACAAGGTCAGGGGATTGAGACCATCCTGGCTAACAAAGCGAAACCCCGTCTTACTAAAAATACAAAAAATTAGCCGGGCATGGTGGCGGGTGCCTGTAGTCCCAGCTACTCGGGAGGCTGAGGCAGAAGAATGGCGTGAACCCCGGAGGCGGAGCTTGCAGTGAGCCGAGATTGCGCCACTGCACTCCAGCCTGGGCGACAGAGCAAGATTCAGTCTCAAAAAAAAAAAAAAAAGAAACAAATTGTGTGTTAATTTTATTATATTGAATTATAATTAAAAGAGTTCCTTTTAAGGATCATCAAGGAGCATTAGAAAATATTTACTATAAAAAAAAGAAACACTGGACTGGATATGTTTGAGAACCACTGAGCACCAAGTTCAAGCTCAACGCAACAGGTCCTGGCTTATCTTTCAGTGTCTATTTTATAACTTCCTGCCTCCCGCACTGGACAGACTCAAACGGCACTAACCTGTTTGTAATTTCCCGACTAGCAATCCCAATATGATGCTTCTATGTGCCTCTGTTCGTGCTGTTCTAAATGTTCTGAAATGTCTTATCATCACCTTCGTCAGATTAATTGCTATTCACCATTCAAGAGTCAGTTCAAGTATGGCTTCTCCAATACTCCTCCTCTCCTAGTAAGGTAAGTGCCCCCTTTCTCTTCCAAAAATGCCCTAATATCTCTATCCCTGCACTTACCTCAATGAAATGAAATTATGTCAAAAAGTCTATTTGACCCAACAGAGTCTACACTTTCAGGGCAGAGTCTATGTATCTCTGCAAATATATCATCTAACACCTTGAAGTAGAATTCATATTCCAACAAGCATTCATACTGTATCAACAATATTTTAAATCAAAAATTCTAAATGCTGCAGATCAATATTAAGTCCAGAATTATTTAAAGCTACCAACTTCTTGCTTTACAAAATTCTCTCACATACATTCACAAACCATAAACTTCTTTAAGATAAGAGTAGAAAATAATTCAGGGTGCTGATTTCTGTTTGCCTAATCTAGCCTAGCAAATTAGCAAGGAGCTCAGAGCCAAAAAAAAAAAAAAAAAAAAAAAAAAAGATTTAGGCTAGGATACTAAAGAAAAAAAAGACTTTGAATGAAGAATGAAAATATAATTTATCACTTTTTTTGTCTTTTGAGACAGGATCTTGCTCTGTCACCCAGGCTGGAATGCAGTGGCACAATCATGGCTCACTACAGCCTTGCCCTCCTGGGCTCAAGCAATCCTTCCACCTCAGTCTTCCGAGTAGCTGGGACTACAGGTGTGTACCACCACACCTGGCATATATATATATATATATATTTATTTATTTTCTAGGCAGAGAGATTATATATATATATATAATCTTTTTTTTTTTTAATAAAGACAAAGCGATATGGTTTGGCTCCATATAATCTTTTTTTTTGTAAAGACAAAACGATATGGTTTGGCTCTGTGTCCCCATCTAAATCTCATCTTGTAGCTGCCATAATTCCCACGTGTTGTGAGAGGGACCCAGTGGGAGATAACTGATTCATGAGGGCGGATCTTTCTTGTGCTGTTCTCTTGATAGTGTATAAGTTTCAGGAGATTTGATGGTTTTAAAAATGGGAGTTTCCCTGCACAAACTCTTCTCTTGTCTGTCACCACTTAAGACATGCCTTTTTGCCTTTCACCTTCCACCATGATTGTGAGGCCTCCCCAGTCACGTGGAACTGTAAGTCTAATAAACCTCTTTCTTTTGTACATTACCTAGTCTCAGGTATGTCTTCATCAGCAGCATGAAAACTGACTAATACACAGGGGCTCACTATGTTGCCCAGGCTGGTCCTGAACTCCTAGACTCAAAGCAATCCTTCTGCCTCAGCCTCCCAAAATGCTGGGATTACAGGTGTGAGGCAGTGTGCCCAGTCTCTCTGAATTACTTCTTTCAACTCTATGTCAAACTATAATTATCTCTAAATAAAAAGCTTAATTTAAGAAAAAAATCTATAAGAAATACTCTGACCTCTAGATTTAAATTCTAAGTCTTCGATATGGTTTACAAGAAGACTCACAGTTAGGGACCTTCTCCCCTTCTCTAGCTTCATTGCTCTTCATATCCCCCTACCTCTTAAAATCTTCCAATCATTTGTTCTTCCTACCATCGCTATTGAACTCCTTTTAGCTCCTAAGTGTGCATTCTATCTCTATCCTCTTGGCCTTTGCCTAGGCTGTTCTCTCTGCCTAGAAAATCTTAGTTGCTATTCCTTTATCCCCTTACCTTGTTGACACCACCTCTTTCTTCAGGCTTTGATAAAGATCTTACTTTTTACATGAAGTCTTTCCTTAACTCCCAAATCTGGGACAGGGGCCTCCTTCTAGATTGCCTAGTAAACTAGTGGTATTTATTAAAATTCAGGGTAGCTGCCAGGCCTATATCTTGCTCCAAAGGTCATTGCCTTCTTATTTAATATTTAATCCCCAAGGTCTACAAACTGATTGGAACATAGTAGGTGCTCTATAAATACATGTTGAAGGGAAAGCAGGCTGGGCGCAGTGGCTCAAGCCTGTAATCCCAGCACTTTGGGAGGCCAAGATGCGCAGATCACGAGGTCAGGAGATCAAGACCATCCTGGCTAACACGTTGAAACCCCGTCTCTACTAAAAAAAATACAAAAAACTAGCCAGGCGACGTGGCGGGCGCCTGTAGTCCCAGCTACTCGGGAGGCTGAGGCAGGGGAATGGCGTAAACCCGGGAGGTGGAGCTTACAGTGAGCTGAGATCCGGCCACTGCACTCCAGCCTGGGCGACAGAGCCAGACTCCGTCTCAAAAAAAAAAAAAAAAAGAAGAGAAAGAAAAACTATGGAATACAGTGAAAAGATCAATAGGCTCATGCCTCTAATCCCAGCACTTTGGGAGGCCGACATGGGCGGATCACTGGAGGTCAGGAGTTCCAGACCAGCCTGGCCCACATGGTGAAACCCGACTCTATTAAAAAAAAACACACAAAAAAAATTAGCCACGCATGGTGGTGTATGCCTGTAATCCCAGCTACTCAGGAGGCTGAGGCAGGAGAATCACTTGAACCAGGAGGCGGAGGTTGCAGTGAGCCAAGATTGTGCCACTGCACTCCAACCTGGGCGACCGAGTGAAACTCCATCTAAGAAAAAAAAAAAAAAAAAATCAATAGCTGCCAGGGTTTGGGGGCAGGGGAATGGAGAGATAATAGGTGGATCCCAGAGATTTTTGGACATTGAAACCAATCTGTATGATACTATATGCCAGATGCATGTCATTATACATATGTCAAAACCCACAGAAGTTACAATATCAAGCATGTACCCTAAGATAAATTATAGACTTTGGGTAGTAATCATGTGCCAATCTTGGTTCACCCATTGTTTAACAAATGTACCAGTCTAGGCCTTGGAAGGCAGAGCAAGATGGCCAAACAGAAGCCTCCACCAATCATCCTCCCTGTCAGAACACCAAATATGACATCTACATAAAAAAGCACTTTCACAAGAACCAAAAATCAGGTGAGTGATCACAATACCTGGTTTTAACTTCATATTGCAGAAAAACAAACTGAAGTGGGTAGGAGAGGTCCCTGAATTTCTGACACCACCCTTCCCCCATCCCCCAGCAGCAGCCAACTAGAAAGAATCTGTATGTTTGGGAGAGGGAGAGTGCAGCAATTGTGGGACTTTACATTGGAACTTGGTGCTGCCAACACCAGGCAGAACTCAGCCAATGTCCACAGAGGGTGCATTTAGACTGGCTGTAGTCAAAGCGGGATTCCTCATCTCAGAAGCCAGAACTTGAGTTCAGCAAGCC